TCCCCAAGCTCTATCTCGCCATTTGTTTTGTATTTCCGAGTTACAGTTTTATTTGATAAATTTTGGCGTTTTGCTACTCCTATTTGATATAGATATGCTAAAAGCCCTTTGATCTTACTATTATGATCGTTTTAGCAGATATACATAGGCCTATAGCGAGTTTATTTAAAGTATAAAACGTCTGCTCTTAGCCTGCTTACGAAGTTGTATAATTTTTTATTAGAGTTTGCACATAGTAGGGCAAATTACTCCTTTAAACATCATTCTCAATCACTCCATCGTTTAAAGGTACATTGGCAATACGAAGATGCTCCTTTGCCTCCTCTGTCAGCTGTCAGCACAAAGGCACAGCTACCGGAAATATCAAATGATACACCTTCATTACTTTCGCCTATAGCCTCTAACACTTCGATCTCTATGAAAGCAGACCTTCAGCAGCAAATTCGGACTCTGGTTCTACGGGGCCAGGTAGCTAGCTCTCCACTTGCAGTGACCACTGTGATCGCCTCACCTGCTACCACAGAAGCTGGTAGCTCAGATAGCTGTTCCTCTGGTCATGGTGATAAGCCAAACAAGTATTTCTTGCTTATTATAAATTAATTTGGATGGGCTTTAATGTTTGTGGAGTTGAATTGAATCTTACTAAAGTACAGACGGTCTTTACTGAATCGAAGAGAAGGATTGATATCAAACATATAATCTAATTAACCTTATCAACAACCGTAAGTATCAGAATGCCTTTAGAATAAGAGAAATTCCGTTAGTTACCGACTAAATTTCATTCAATAAACATTTTATTATAAATATACTTAAAAAGGTATTATTTACCTATAGTTTATAAGTAGTATTTTGAGACTACCAATAGATCGTTTATATATGAAGTGCACTGACTATTTCGTTTATTTATTATCAGTTTGCTTCATAGCTATGCGGAAATAATGGTAATTGTTGAGCATAGTTCCATTTCCAGCGAAACTGCTTGCTGAAAAGATTCAAAGTTTGATCTCATCGGAAGACGAAGATGGATTCCTCTTGACCAGCTGTCGATTGACATTACTGCAACATTCTTGTTGCCATAGTTTCTGAGAAAATCTTTTTAGATTCCGATGAAAAAGGGGCTAAGCCTTCGTCCGTCATATGGCGTCTCAGAAACAACATAGGCAAAAATGTTCCGGTAAAGCCAATCGACAACTGGCCAAGATTAATCTGCCCTTGTCTTCAGGTGGGATCGACCTTCAAAGTTTATTAGCAAACATTTAAAATCGAAATGGAAGTTCAACAATTATGAAACAAGAGATTCCTCGAAACCCAATTTTTCTTTGAATTCATAGCAGTTGTTGCGTTACTAGCGCTAGTCCATCTATGATGGATGAGAGGCGAGCTTTATGATAGAATGAAGCCGCTATGCTCATAGCGAAACAGGATTTGAAGTAAAATATGGACACTCGTCAGATATTTGAATATT